TAACTGCGTAACAATTAGGGAGAGGACACATTTTTTTATAATGTAAATTTTTCCATTTTGTCTTTTCTTTTTTTTTCATTTGCTTTCTTAATCCGAATTGACAAATTACTACCAGAGAACTTTCTAATGACCAATTATGTGCCTCCCTCACATGACAGGGAAGATCATCCACTTCCCATTTACATACTGGACAAACCTTCATTCTAAGAAACAATCAAAATGAATAAATATTGCAAACACTATAAAATTAACAAATTATTTTTAAATTAAGATTAAGTATACTCTTTTGGATGATTTTCAATTGAATAAATTGAATTCTCAGTAGCAAGACTTTCACCAACACTTAAATAAAAATGTTTTACATTTAGGAATGAATAAATGCCTAGAAAGTTTTTTTGAATTAATTTTTTAAAAACAATTTCACATAAAAAAACAAAAAAATACTTTTTTGGAAAATTCTTGCTTGAATAACTCGATGTCTCAAAAACACAGTCTTCTTTAATTCTAAATTAAGAAGTTTTACATTTTTTAAGAATCATAAAATGCTTAGAAAGTTGATTTTATTTAACCTTATGCACAAATAATTTTTATAAGAAAATCATTATTAAAAAATTGATAATGATTTTCTTATTTCAATTTTTTAACTAGAAACTCTAATACTAGATTTCTCTTCTCAGAACAGTGATCACGTTATTAAATAATTTTTCTATTTCTTACAAATGATCAAATGTTAAAAAAAGGTTAATTTATAGTTAAACTCGACTTTATTACGCTACAAATTTTTACCAAAATCAAAGTGCATAAATTTAATTTTCAAAATAATGAATAAAGAGGAAAGTGTAAATGAAAATCTTTTTAATGATTTTAGAAATATTATCAAAACCAAAAGCAAAAAAATATACTGCAAACCTCATTTATAAAATAGATAATCAATATAACTAACATTGCATAACAATGCATAACTTTTATTTCTCCTAAGCCCTTTTACTGTCATTCCATCCTTCCAACACTGAAATATTATTAATATATATTTTTTTCTGTCACTTTAGTTAAGAATAGATCATCTCCATTGAAATAGATACCATTGTAAAATAACATGTGATGCTTTTAATACATAGCCATTCTTAATATTACTAGCCATTATATACCACCTAAAGGTAAGAAAAAAAAAACCTTAAGAGAAGTAGTGAGTTGAGCCAAGAGTTAGTTAGGTGGTATATAATGGCTAGTAATATTAAGAATGGCTATGTATTAAAAGCATCACATGTTATTTTACAATTGATTTTTCCTGGCTTAAAACCACACTGTTTGTTATAAATACTATAAAACAAAAACCTTATCACATAGCTTTTTATTTTGTTGTCAACAATTCCTAAATCTTTATTATGTGTTCAGACAATTTTATTCTTTGATATGAGCCACTAACAACTGACAAATAATTTTTTTTTTTAAATCAACATTTAGTTGATTTTTTTATAAACCTTGTATTACAAACGGTTTATCTCATTGCATTTGAAAACTTAAACATCATTTACCTTTAAATATTTATTCGACAAATCCAATTTTACCTCATTCATGTCTCCACATGCAATTAGCCTTTTACATGCATCAAAAAGTAACAGCTCTACATGTTAACATAAGTTGCTTTTAACATTTTAATAATTGGTTAATTAATCTACATCAGCCTTTTTCTATCCATCTGCATCAACCACAAATATGTAATTGGTACATTACTGTTATGTATAGTAAGTTATTAAAAAAAACTATTGGATCATATTGAAAAAGAATTTAGAAACTTACACAGTTTGTAACAAACATATTGGGTCTTCAGAACTTTTTATATCAAAACTATGATGAAAATTTTATTAGTAACAAAAATGGACATATAAAAATAAAGAATAATTTAAAAACTACTTACTTCATATACCTTGCTGTATCAATAAAATAATATTCAACTTATATTTTATTCAAATTTTCTAATAAAAGCAAATTTTTTCATAAAAAAACATACTGAGTTGGCAATGAAAATTGTGACTTTTCAACACATTTTTTATCAAATCTAAACAAACAAAACCTTATTATAAACTGTATTAATTAAAAATAATTTTGTGATTGAATTGTTTCATTAAAAACATTTTTGTTTATTCTTTATTAAGAAACTTTAAAGTAAAGGCACTTGTTGCACCAGTAAAATAGAGTTAGTATACATTCTAAAAAATGGACAACTAAAAATAAAGAATAGTTCATTAACTACTTATTTCATAACTCATTTTGTAGTGTCAATAAAATAGCATTCAACTTACATTTCATTCAAGTTTTCTAATAAAAGCTTTGGTTCTGCAGAACTTTCAATGGCCCTAGTATTAAAAACAGATTTATAAATATCTTAAAACCTACTAAATAAATGTAATCAAATTTAGATTATCAATCATAAACTATTAGAACTACTGTTATCAAAAAACAAAAACAAAAAGAGTAATGTTAAATGCTGATAAAATATTTATCAACATCAAAATTAAGGTATATTTATAAAGTCTAACATTAGGAGCCAGTAGATGATTAGTGCACAGTAGGTTAAAACTCACTTTTTCTGGACAAAACTACTAACTCATGGTATATAGAATATTTAAGGAGCATTTTTTCCACTGTTCACTAATTTGAGTATTGTTGTTTTAATATATTCATTAATTTTTGGTTGCTATAAATACCTATATTGCTTTTGTGTTATTTTTATGAATATCTATATTGCAACTAGGAAATTTCATTGGCTACATTGGCTAAATTTTATATATATATATATATATATATATATATATATATATATATATATATATATATATATATATATATATATATATATATATATATACATATATAAATCTTTTAATATATATAGAAACTGAAATTAAATTAAAGATTAGAACACTAAATTTTTCACATTCTTTCCATTGACCCACTGTGCAATGGGTAAACGGGAGACATTCAAGTAAATTTGCCAATTAACAGGTCGACCTTAAAGTACATTTTTATTTAAACTCTAGAAAAATTACTTTCTTATAAACTAGTCTAATTCAAAAAAGGTGTTGCTAATAAACTCTTTCATCGCTGTTTCTTTTTTTTTTTTTAATTTTCAAGTTTTTGACTTAATAAAATAAATATACCATACATTTTATCAGGACTTTCTGATTGAACGCTAGATTCTTGGGAAACATAATCTTTATTGACTCTAATAAATGAATACCAGTATTAAAAAAAAAATAAATAAAAATAATCACATTATATGTATATTAATTGGTATGTGATAAAGTGAAAAAAGGTAAACAAAGAAATTAAAGTTTAAAATGTTAAAGATACTTGTTGCATCAATAAAATATTTATCATACACTTCATTAGGAATTTCAGATAAACAACATTTTTCTTCTTCAAAACCTTCGCTGACACTAAGTTTAAAAAATTATTTAACCTTTTAACAGTGAGAAATTATAAACAAGGTTAAAACAAAATCTTTTATATTAAAAAATGTATTTTTTAACATTTTAAATTTAATTAAATGAAATATTTTATTGTACTGATTGTTCTTGTTTGAAGAAAAAATCTCAAAATGAATATCAGTTGATAACAAGGGCAACCTAAAGCAAGATTTGATTTATGTTATAAATGCTGTTTAAAAAAAGTAATAATAACTTGAACATCTTTTTAAAAATGTATTAAATAAATAACTGAATTTAAAAGTAAAAAATAATTTAAATTAAATAAATTTAAAATATTCCTATCTAAATTTTAAACTTAAAATGAATTTAAAATCTTTTATTGGTGTCAAGAGTTTGATTAAAGACATGAGACATTAACAACTTTATTTGTGGTAATTTTTTCGATATTTAAAAACAAAGAAATTTAAAATACGACACATCAACATTTTTATTGAATTTGAGCTTTATGCTGAGAATATTGATTTTGGGTTGTGATATTTACTTATTTATACTACCGTTTACATAGGACTCGCAAACAATTTAGACAAAAATGATTTAATATAGACAAAATGTGAACATGTTATTTTAATATTAAAGGTTATTTTAATATTAAAAAGTCCCTAAAACCAATTTTATAAATAATATATCATAACAATATAATACTGATTTGAACAATAAATAATATCTAATTAAAATAATAATAACAATAATAATTTAACAGTGCTTAAAGTGGGGAAATTAAAGTAACAGGATGGTTTCCAGTAATTTTAAAATACTGTCCTTTTTATTTATTAAGATAAAAACTGATCTACAGCAGTTCGAAAAAGCAATGCATTTATTTTAGGTTTTTAAAAGGTTTTTAATTTAGCTTTCATACTGTTATGTTTTAGAGTCTTGCAATTGTGAGCCCTACAGTTAATTGATTATTATCATAATAACAATAACTAGAAAGCTGCAAACAAGTTAGTTTATAAATAAAAACTCATCAAAAAAAAAAATAATTTGAAAAAAATATAATTTCATAAAAACATACTGAGTTGGCAATGAAAATTGTGACTTTTCAACAAATTTTACATCAAATCTAAACAAACAAACCTTATTATAATTAGCATTAATTAAAAAGAATTTTGTGATTGAATTGTTTCATTAAAAATATTTTTAAACTTTAAAGTAAAGGTATTTGTTGCACCAGTAATATAGAGTTAGCATACATTCTATTGAAGTTTTCTGATGGGAGACTTGGTTTTTCAGAGACTTGACTTTCATTGATACTGTATTTAATAGATTTTACCAGTATTAAAAATCAATAAGTAAAAAATCAAAACAATAATGGCAAAAAATAAAACTATATAGTTTCGTTTTCTATAGTACAGTTATATATAAAAAGTTTATTCTTTTTTTTTAAATAAAAATCATCAAAATAAAATCATTAATAAAATAAAAATACCTTAAATCAAAATGTACCAGGTTTACCTTATGATTTTAGTAAAAAATAACACAAAATCAATTCGAACCTTAATTGATTATCAGGCGTTTTGTCAACGAAAGCGCTTAATACCTAAATTGCAAATAATTTAATGACAGTTTATTTTTTAATAACTAAAAAAATAACTAAAAATCTGTACTGAACTTACTTTTGCTGCAGTCAGTATAACTTTCTTTTCTAACTTCTAAAAATTTCATTTAAAATATATGTAGAAAAAATTTTTTTTATTGAAAATTAACTAAATTTAATTGTGATAAAAATGTGGAAATCAAAATATGACATTTTTAAAATACAATTTTAAAGTGGTGACATTAAGAGCTGATAAACAGAAGTGAAATAAAATCAGCTATTAAAACGGCTCAGGAGAAGTGGATTTAGTAGATATCAGACCTTTGCAATGCAATTGAAGGTAAAATCTCAAATGATCAGAAGAAAATTGGGAAAGTAAAGACATACAATAGAATTGGAGAGCCACTAAAATGTGTTTCATATCAACGAATAATATTCATGAATACAAGTGACCACAAAATGTTATTAAAAGTAGATGAAAAGATTTAAATCAAATTCAAATCATTAAAGAGAATTAACTTTTAAAAAGATTATAAATTAAATTCAAAAGGTTTTTAAAAAGTTTTAAAGGAAAATAAGAGTGTGATTATTGTTAAGTGAATTCGGCAAAAAACTCATAAAAAATGTAAAAAGTTTGCTTAAAATTGTCGGTATGTGTAAAAATAGTACTTTTGGTAATACAGAGAAGAAGTCAAAAAAGAGATTGAAATAAATAATGGAGAAAAAATTGTATATTGGTGAAACTTTTTATCTCTGAGGGTACAACTGCATTAGCAGGTAGACCAGAAAAAATATCAAGGAAAAGATAAAGGTGTCTAGGCCATGTTTAGAGAACTATCTTATTTTCTAACATCAAGAGATATATGATTAAAAAAAAGTTAAGATAAAAAAAAATTGTACACTATATATGTAAAGAGTTTTATGAGGCATAACTGTTCAAGTACAGAAAAGTGTTAAAATAAAAATGATTATCACAAAAAATTCTTAAAAATGTATTGAGATTGGTTTATTTATATTAATTTTTATTATAATGCAAGATACAAATATAAATATTCCATCAGTTATAAAATCAGTAAACCAATAATATATATATATATATATATATATATATATATATATATATATATATATATATATATATATATATATATATATATATATATATATATATATATAACTTAAACATTTTAGAGACCAAGAAAATTGTTTAACTAAACAAATGTATGACTTAAGCAAGGTAAAAAAAAAATCTTTCTTTTATTAGATCTAAGAAAACAGTTTAAATTAATAAAAGTTTTAAGAGAAAACCTAGTTTGATCATGATGAAGGATATCTCTACATACATCAACTTGTTTAAGAAATACATAAAAAAAAAGTTGCTGCTACATTGACTGACAGTTTAGGGTAGGGCAGGAAGTCTAAATTATTTTTTTCTTCATTTTTTTTATTTAAACAATTGCTGATCAGAACTTTGCTAAATTGATAGGAATTACTAGCATTAGTAGCTGAAATCTCTAAAACATATCAAGTGTATAATTGATCAAGTGCCTATAATTTTATACTTTCAAAAATTGTATATTTTTTCTATTTCTACATAATTATCTGCCAAATCAGAGTTCAAATCTAAAATCAAAATTGTGTGCTATTTTTGGAAACTATTTTAAATAGAAAGTACTTTAGTAGAAGAAAAAAAATATATATATACTTTAATCTATAATAATAATTACCTAATAAGTTTAAATTAAAACTAAATAAATTACATAAATGGAAACAAAACACACAATATATACACAAATATTAGATAAATTTCATTTGTAATTAAAATTGTGAGACTTAAAAAAAAGTTTATAAAGATTTTTAATTTCTTTTTACTTACTTTTCCAACATAACGAGAGTTTCTGACTTCTTCCATTGTAAATGGCTGAATATAATTTTTCTAAAAGAAAGTTTAAAAAAATTATTACACAAATCTCAACAAAAAAATCGTGTTAATTATATTAGACCAAACACGTAACAGAAAAATAATCATTTGTTTATTACAATCAAAATAACTATAAAAAAAAAATAAAATTAATATATCAAAAACTTTTCATAAAATTATGTTCAAAATAGACAAGCTCTCTAAAAAAACTATAACCAAACGTTTAATAATAAAGTACAGTGAAAAAATTAAACAAACATAACTAATTGAAAACAGTATAAAACATATTATATGTAAAAATCTTTTTAATCTTTTCTTATTTATACTGAACTTAGTAGTAGTGTTAGTAGTAGTAGTAGTTTCCACTCTTTGACAGAGTTTTGTGTCAAACACTAGCGTGTTTGACACAAAACTCTTGCCAGCCATTGCAACCAAGGTAATGGCAAGAAAGAGTTAAAAAAAACTTATGTAAACTTTAAATTATATAATAATTTGAAGTTTACATAAATTAGATGTAAAAATAAAAAATTATATCAAATTTTGAAGTTTTAATTTTACATAAAAACTGCATTGTGTCTCCTTAACTTTGATTTATAGCATTTATTTGCTATTTAATTAAGTCTTTTGTTTATTATATAATACAAAATTTATCAAAAAAGATGTTTTAGTGGCTGAGATGATTATATCTCAGTGTTTCTAAAGTGATTTGTCGTGGTTCAAATCCTTTCGCTTGCACATTTAATTTTTTGTTAAACCTTTTTAAACTTTTTAAAATACAAAAAAAAAAAAAAAAAATTCTCTAGATATTATATATATAACATATATAATGTTATAACAAATAAAAATATAACAAATAAAAGGGAAAGAAGTTGAAATAAATAAAAAAATTCTAAAAACATCAAAATACTGGGAAAATTTGTTGCACAATTACCATGATGAAGATACTTTTATTATTAACATGCTCAAATAATTAGTGAAGTCAGGGTGTTGAACACCCATTAAAGACAAGATAACTTTCTTGTTTATAGAAAAAAAGATTTTACTCAAACTCTATTTTTTCAAAATTAATAAATGGGCTGAGGGTCCTAATAAGCTGCAAAAATAACTGTTAACTCAAAACAAAGATTTTAAAGATATTGATTTCTATTAAAAATTATTGAAACAAAAATACTATAAGAATAAGAATAGAAATGGGAAATGGTCAGTGGAATAGACTTATCAATTTGCGTATTATCCATGTCATGGTTTTCAAACTTTTTATATCAATTGTAATTAATCAACACATTACAATTGATATAAAAATTCAAAGCAGGTATTCTAAATAATATTTGAATGGATACAAATATCTAAACTGCTATTAAATACAAAAAATTTTTTCAAATAGTTTTTTTGTTCACATGTTTGTGACACATATGTTTGTTCACATGTTTTGTTCACATGAACCTTTTCAGTCTTTATAATTGAAATAAAAATTTAATTATAAAAATTCAAGTTTTCAAAATAACAGTAGCAATAAACAA